GGGAGCCATGGCAAAGGAGAGGCTTAGTGACTTGCCTGAGGTCATGCAGGCAGGCCATTATGGAGCAGGGAATTCAACCAGGACTCCCAAACAGCAGACAGATGCTCTAGCCCCTGGGCTGTCTGTCCTTTTGCTCCTATCTTTAAAGACTTCAAAAGCTTTCTCCACATTTCAGGGATGGTTCAGAGGTTATTGAAGGCAGTCCAGCTAAAATACCAGAACAGCTGGACCAAGTGGAAATGTGCTGCTTAGGTGGAGAGCTGTGATACAAGTAAGTCAAATAAAGGTTTTTCAGCTGGCAGCTCTGGCTTCCTCTCACTTGCATGAGCTTGCTCGCTCACATGCACACACATGCCCTCTCTGCAACTCATTTTTCTTCTGCCTCGGAGGAAGGACTTGGTAAAAGGAAGTTAGTATAATTAAATGGTTATGTAGGAAGCTGATGGTAAGTGTTTACTTATAAAAAATAAGTGGAGGAGAAAAAACTATGTGGTGGATTTCTTAGTGTTTGCTTTTGGGGGTTTATTTTTGTGAGCAGAGTATTGAGTGACAGAGATTTGTTCCCAGTAGAAAATGCTTGAAACACATTAGTCTGCTTTGGTATTAGAAAGATTAGAGGGCACACTGTGAGAATTTGTAAGGATTTATGTGCTTTTTAGAAAGGATTAAGAATAAAAAAAAAATCCAGATTAGAAATGCTGTCTAACCACATCACTACCCTATGAGCCAACTTTTGCATGGTGGTTTTCTTTTATGTTTAATACCACAATGTTTGCGTTGCAACTTCAGTTACAGTTGGTTTTGTTTAAAGACCATAGTGTAGGTGCGCACAGCGTGTGAAATGAAATGTTATGAGTTCGTGTAGCATCCTTGAAACCTTACTCAGCAGCCAGCTTGCAATACCTAAGAAAAAGATTTTTAGGGACAGGCTTATTCTAGAAAGTTGCTTAAATAAAAGAAAAAAAAACCAACAAAACAAACTAGAAACATTCCATAGCTTTTCATTGTCCGCTTTCTTCCTGTCTGTCAAATTTTAAGCTTGAACAAGATTTGTTCTCTGGAACATTATTTCTTTAAAATATTTGGACATGGTAGTTCCATAGTAACACCAGACAGCACAAAGAATTATTTATTTGTTTGGGAACATAACTGTTAAACATCCTCTAAGTTGGAAAAAAAAACCTTCCTAATTATTTACTAGACGCATCTTTAGCATACATAGCTAATTAAAGTCAGACTGCTAAATGTGGATGATTAGAAGCTTATGTTGCTAGAAAAATGCTTGTGCTGATTTAAGCTAATATTCATTTATAGATTCAATCCCATTTAGACACTTTATTTAGAAAAACATAAACCCATGCAAGATGTGTTTATGGAAGAGGCTAGCTATTACTTTATTTTATGCTTTACAGCCTCTCACTATATTAGGCATCAATTTGTTGACAGTTTTTGGCATCTTACCAACATGCACTAGAAACGTAAACTGACCAGTGTGAATGGCTTAGTTGTACAGGATTTTTTTCTTTCTTTCTACTTTCCCCCTTCCTGTTTCTTTCATTTATTTTTCTTTTCATTTAATGTTATGTAGAGCTTGATTGAATGGCTAGAGAAATCAGTGGAAAGCTGGTGTTGGGCTTTAGGTCAGTCTTTTCATCAGAGGGTCTTTCCTAGCCACAGGGCTTTTCGTCCAATGCAGTCCAGACATGCCTGAGCCCAGTGATGCTTTGAGAAGAAGCTTATGTTGAATCTGGTGTATTTTCCAGGCATGTGCCAGTGGTTCTGTTTCAGGTGCTTGGTGAATTTGTTCATGTAGCACACCCCGTGAGGAGGTTTCTGTGTGTAAGCAGGTGTCATGTCTAACTACTTCCTTAAAGTCACCCCACATAAGCAGTGCATTGTACCTAAGGACAGATACTTGAGCATTCTGTCCCTGCAGAGTAGTCCTGTGAGCATCTGCAGCACATACAGCTTTCTCTCTTGCTTGGTTCAGCTATTATAATGGCATTGACCAAAACAGAGTTCCATTTGCATGGATGAATATCAAGTTTGAATTGAATTCTGGATGCTGGTTGATTTTCTTTTGTTTTCGATTTTAATGCTCTTACAATATGATTTCAAAACCAAAATTTGGAGGTATATGCTTTTTTTGATGTTCTGGTTTTGTAAATTCTCTGCTAAATTGATATAGATATGAGTGTAAGGATAGGTTTTGTTACTGGCTTTTTATGGAATTAAATGCATTACAGTGTCTTCAAACCAGAGAACATTTCCATATTATCTGTATTATACCTGGCAGCACATTATTGTCACTGCTGGTGGTCTGAAAATTTTATTGCAGGCTTGTATTGGCAGACTGATTTGTGAGTTAAGAGTTTCACAGCTAGAGAGAATTTGCAGATTTTAGCATTTATAGGCTATGGAAAGATGCATCTTAGCAGAGGAGAAGAACATGTGGGAAAAAAACCTGAAGACTGATTAGTTAATTGAGCATGTTGAAATGTGAAGATGATCTGTGGAAGAGAGAAATTCAAGGAAGCAGTCTGAGAAACAGGACAGAAAAAAGTTAAATTAGAAATAAACCTTAACATAGGATTTAGACCAATTCAGAAGAGGTAAGGGGATACAAAATTATTAACATCATATACAAAAGATCCCAGTTGATATGGCAATTTGAGATTTGAAAAATGTTTGTTATTAATCTTTAAAGAAAAATAAATTTTTAAAATGTGCTGGCAAATACATACTCTGTGACAAATATGATTCTGTGACTCAGTATGTATCAGTTTACAGCTATGTAATTGACTGAAAGTCTGATGGGATAAACTGAAGTTTATTGCAATGACTGTTCTGAGTGAGAACTGAGTTTGGAGTCTTGTCCTTGAAAAAGGAATAATCATCTCACTTTTTCAGGCAAAGGTTGTTCATTGCAGAGACTAGAGCTGGGAGAGACTGTCAGTCTTTGTCTGTTAGGGTGCTAAAGTACATTTGTTAGAAAAGAAGCAAGTCTTTGATTTTTATCCCTTGTCTCTGGAATACAGTTTCTTCCTTATTTAAATTGTATTATGATTTCATGTAGTTCTTTGGTAAGTTAAGGTACAAAGATAATTTGTTGTGGTTTTTTTTTTCCTGTTTCTTATTTAAAGAGTTGCTTATATTGAACAGGGAGACGTGTTATGCTCTCAAGTGACTGGGTGCCAGTACAGAGAATCACTGCAAGATTAACTCCCATGTAAACAAAAGTAGAGTTTTTCAGTTTAAAGTTTTTCATCATGGTTAAGGAAATCATCTTTATTCTATTTATGTGTTGGTCTCAGCAATTCAGTTGTTAGAAACACTAGAGGATTTTATGGGCTTAGTGTATTGATATACAGAAATGCTAACAGAACACCATTCCAGAAGAAACCCAAAGTCCATGTCATCTGGATTCTTATGAATGAGGAAGGAGATTTTAAGTATTTTTTTGAAAACCTGTGCATAAATAATTTAACTGATATCTTGAAAGGATTTGCCTTCTAAACCGGAGCTCCCAACAAGTGCATAGTGTGAAGCAGAAAGCTCTGTGGCTTACAGCAAAACACCCTTTGGAGGTGCCTCTTGCTCTCTGTTGACTGTCAGGAGTCAAAACAGATTAAATGCCTGATTTTTAGACTAATAATTTCCATGAGAGGAGCTGCCGCCTTAAACTGTTTTTGATCAATGTAGAGAAGGTGTTTCTGTATGTTTATGGAGCACCTCAGGTATGCTCTGTGGAAAATTATGTTCTTGGGCTGGGTTTTCAGATGCATACATGTGACTTCGGAGTGTAAGTCCTATTAAGAAATGAATGAGTTTTGTGTTTCCTCTGCTCTCTAAATAACCGCAGCCGGTTCTAGAAAAAGTATCCTTCCTACAGCAAGAATAATGTGGCACTAGTTTAATTGATTTTTCTCTTGTTCAAATTGAAGATTCACTGTTTACTCAAGTATTATTTATTGCAACTTTCATCAGAATCAGATGAATAAATACATAGCCTGTCATGGATTGGCGTGTATGGCAAAGGATTATGACTGGAAGTCCGGTGTTCTTCACTGGTTCAACATGACCTACTGTTGGGTCAAGCTATTTCTCTGGGTTTTTTTCTCTGTTAAACTTGTCTATTGAATAGGCATTTTACAGTGGGGCATCTAATTTACATAGATGATTCAAGGAATTAGTACTAGGATCAGCTACTATTTTTTCTGAAAAACCTGAAATTTTACTTTTCCAAAGTACAGTAATTCTTGCTTTCTGTTGGGGAGTATGAAATATGTAGCAGAAGAATCACCTCTGAAGCAGATATCTGTAATGAGGTCTTTAAAATGGCATTTTTGTAGCATTATGAAGTTTGGTCTCCATGTTATTTCACTAGTCTATTTGCTGTAGAAGGATTTGCAGTAAAGCAGAGACTTGGAATTTCTGCAAAAGTATTTGTTATGTACTAGACGTACTTTGGAGAGAGATATCCAGATATTTCTCAAGATCTTGAAAGCATGGTATGAAAAATCAGATTTTCCACATTCCCGCTTGAAACTTAAATCCAGTGCAAACAGAGGTCTTTTTATTTCATAAGTACTTGTTTAACGCTGGCTCTACTTCTGAGACTTATTGATTTTTCGTGTATTCCAGGCCAGGAAAATCAAAGTCACGTTGTGAAAATATCTTCCTGAAATAAGTTATTAGCTTTTAATACAGTTGTAAAGGATGACTTTTTGGTTAAGGTTCTGGCCTGGGACTCCGGAGTTCGAACTGAGTTCAGCTCAAGGCTGTGACCCTGACTGCATCTGTAGGCACACTGGGCAGTCTTCCTGGGTCTCAGCTCCCTACCTAGGAGGCAACACTTGTCACCTTAGTCAGAAGACCTTTACTGTGTATATGATTATAGCATACAGAACAGTTTGTCCTGATCTGGTTCTTAGCTATTATTGTAATGTAAGTAAGTAATTGTCATAACTTCAATATTACCACTTGCTTTTCTTTTACAGCCCACATCATGGGGGATGTGAAACTGGTGACATCTACTCGAGTCTCCAAAACCTCCCTGACGCTCAGCCCCCCTGTCCCTGCTGAAGCACCAGCATTTACTCTTCCTCCTCGGAATATCCGAGTGCAGCTGGGAGCCACAGCAAGATTTGAGGGGAAGGTAAGAAACAGAGATGATGGTCAGCTTCTCCATTTGGTTTTTCCCTTTCCTGAAGCTGCCTAGGAAGCTGTAAAGATAGTGAAGTTGCATCTGCAGTATGGAAACTTTACTCAAGAAGAGGACACCAGTGTTTACCCTCCTGAGGAGACAGGAGCATTACAGGTCTGTTTCTGAGTAGAGGAGAGTGTTGCAAAACCTGAGTATGTGCTAGGTATAACGTAGCTGAGCGTGCCAGGCAGGGAGCGTAGCATCAGTGGAAAACTGCTTCAAGAGCTGTCTGTAATCAGAGAATACATATTCTCCTACTGCATATTCATCTCCCTGCATCCCAAATCTGCCTTTTCATGAAACTTCACATGTAACTCAAACCTAACACTGCTATGGCATGTCTTTCCTAGTAGTCAAGCTAGGAATCTGTGAAGAGGGTTGAGACACTTTTGTATCTGCACCACCTGCCCTACATGTTATTAATCTGAAGCAAAAGAGCATTTTCAGAGGAAAGATTGATTTGTTCAAGAAGACTTGTTAATTCAAGGGGTTGAAAAGGGTGCATAGTGGGGTGTGGATCCTAGGTTCTTCTTTTCCACTTATGCTTGGGACATTGAATTGTGCTTACTGGCATCCATATTTCTTTCACACTTCAGTCCTGGTGTGATCTCTTCCTTGTTCTAGCTATCCTTCTTTCTCCTCACTTAACTCCTTTTTTTTTTTTTTCCTGGAGCAGCCAGTTTTCTTTCTCACCCTTTCAGCTTCCTTCTGCCCGTGTCATGCTCTGATTGCATGCTGACAGCTGTATCATCAAACTGACCACACTTTTAATTTTTGAAGTGATGGGACTTGTCTGACAGAGGCAGGAAACTACAGCTTTACTGTAACAAAAGCAAGGGCTAGAAGGAATTTGGGAAATTCAAAACTTCTGAAACTCTAACTTGAACAGAGGGCCAGTACAGGGTATCTGATATTTCCCTTATTTGTTTATGCCAGAGCAGGCCAGGAACTGGGATTTTTCAACAGAACCTGAGCAGGAAAAAAAAGTCCTGGAGTATATAAATTTTTAAGTGTAAAACCAAAACTCAGAAGTTTGGATTTGTGTTTTTGAAGAAAATTTCACATTTTTTGGTGGAAAGCTGATAATTTCAATTAAAGTGTCTAAACCAAAGTTTTTAATCAAACCTTTAGAAAGACTTTTTTAAAAATTAGCTTATTTTTATTGTGATTTTAAGTCACCAGTCAGAAACCCTCCGTGTGTATGACATTGGCTAGTCCTAGTGAGCATTCCCTTTCTTACTGTTTTTAACCCCTCATCCCTCCTTTGTTGCAGATAGTGGAAAAATGACATGTTGCTATTTTATGCATGTGACACTGATGCACAATACTATTCTCACTCTGACCGGTTCTTCCAGACAACACTGCAGCTAGCAATAACAATTCAGTGAAATCAAAGTTGAAGCACGTGATGTTGCTAAGATTTGGTTTTACATTTCTCATGTTTCCTCATTAAAAGCTCAAGTGGGATATTTCCAATTTTTAGTGCACTCTGCAGACATTTTATTATTAGCCAAATGGAAAGAATTATAAAATATAATAATCTGTAAGCTAGAGTGTCATCACTGCTTTGCTTTTTTTTCAGATCTGATTTTAAAGTGTTAATTTTTCAGGAATATCTATCCCCTTTTTAAAGTCATTTTGAAGGCTGGAAGGGTAAATCTGAAGTTTTTTTTTTTTTAATAGCTTGGAGAAAATACACAAATTCAATACTAATTAAAATGACAGGCTTAAGTTCCTTGAAGGAACAAAGCTTTGATTGAAGTTCTGGATTGAACCTACATGATGAAAATCTAAATTTCAGTTCTGCCATATGAGCATGGCTGAAACATTTAGTTTTATATTCTTAAAATGGGGATGATAATATAGAACTTGCATGCATATTGTATAGCTGAAATAAACCTTTCATGCTCAAAGTGCTTTTGTAAGCATCAAACATTAAGAGCGCAGCTTTGCTGAAATACATGTGAGATCTGCAATTACTTTGTGGCCAGTAGCCTGCCTTAATGGTTTGGTGAACCAAGGTGATGCAATTACAGCCACTGTCTTTGGCCCTTCAGCCTCTTGCTGTGCATGGAGCATTGTCTGGGTTTCTATTTAGTCCAGCTTGCTGTCCTGGAGGCACTTTGGTTTACCTCTGTCAGCTAACACAGGTGAGAAGAAACATGTTAACACAACTGAAGACATCAACCAGCCAATTTTTATCATCATTAATTAGTTCCAAGTTTCCTGGAATCTACCCTAGCTGGGGGCTGAGATTTGAATTGCAATTTTTAATTTTTTTTTTATGTTTTTGGGAAAGAGGAGGGTGGAGGAGCAATGAGCTACATTGTTATAATTGTAAGAGACTAATGCAGCATAGCATGTTCTTCTTATTATCTTAAGCAAGAAAAAATAGGTTTTTAATTACAATATTGACTATTAAAATTGAGTCTGTGTGATCTGTTGTTTGTAATGTAACATGGTTGGGGAGATTGTTTGGTTCTGTTGTTTATATAAGGTGGGTTCAAATGAGTATTTTGTTTGTGCTCTTAGTCTAGTAAGATGGGCAGGGTGAGGGGGAATTCAACAGTACAGTTTGAAAGGATACTGTCACTTAATAGCTGCAGCAGCTTGCAGAGCTTGTGTCATCTGACTCTGTCTTCAACTGCTTCGTACAATGTGGTTTCTTCTGTCACTTTAATGTTCCACAGGTTCAGAAGGACAGTCTTAAAAAAACCAATTAATTAAGGTTTAGTAATAGAAGTAGCTACTGAACATACTTAGGTTTTTCTGTCCTGGAAAATAGGCTACAGATGTTATGATGTTTTGTTGCTGATACTCTGCTTCATTACACAGTGTAAATATTAAACTAGACTCAGGCTAAAGAAAAAGAAAAAGTTTTTTAAATGGCTAGACGGGAGATTTTCTTCAAAGAGTTCCTCTGCGGTAGAATTTATCTTATCAGAAAGAACAAACATTTTGAGAATCCAAGACAGGATATAAATCTGATACTGTGATGATCTTGTAGTCTCATTAAGTGAATAAGGAAGAGAGGGCCACAGAATCAAACTTGTTGTTTTTCTTTCCAGAGGCAAGTAAGATAAGTTGTGTGAAATGGCAATTCAAGATCAAGGAGAGTGCAGAAATTGAGAAATAGCCCATAAATGTAGGAAATTGGAGGCAGAAAGGAACTGTAGTTGCCATTAACAGAAATTCTTTGGGTTTTTTTCTGTTCCTTCTGCTACCACCCTGGTTTTCATACTAAAATTTCAGCAAGTTTGTCTATATCTGGCTGCAGATCTCAGTTTTCCAATGTGACGTCAGTGTAAAAAGTTAGCTCATCATCTTTCAAGTATATGAGCACGATTTTTGGCCCAGAGCACTGACTGAGTGGTGGAACCAGTTAGTAAGGCAAAGGCAAGGTTACCTCCCCTAGATGCTCTACATACATCTGCTACATGGACATCTCAGTTGTTCATCAATCAATTCCTGAGGTGATTTTTAAGGAAACCGTCCCAGATTATTATGAAATTGTGTTGTGGGTTCCCAGCTTGTTAGGAATTGATTGATGTGCTGCTCTTCAGTTGCACATCACGTGTGAGGTGAACAGCTCAGCATAGTGACCTCCTGCCCTGTGCTAAGGCATTGTGGCTTGTCTGACAGAGCCTTTCAGATACTCTTAGAAAAGAAGAGCAGGCCAAAATGTTACTTTGTTTTGAGAGGTTTCTTTCTCTGTTGTATTAATCACTGGAATATTTATCAGTGCTTTGAAACATTAAATTGGGATTTTTATATCTTTATCTTTCTAATTCACCTGAACATCACTGGATTTTATAATGCTCAATGGCATACTAATGAAGGAGATTCCTTTCTTTGTAGCAAATATCATGGGGGCTCCTGTAGCAAGTGTCACAGGACTGGAGAGGGCAATCCTTTTCAGCAATAGCATCTGAACAAGCATCTGTAAATTATGAGGCGAGGTGGTATTTTGATGCTGCTGATAACATTTGGTTAATCCATTGTCGAACCACAGTATCCTATCAAATTCTTTCAGACTTTGGGTTTTTCTAAATTTCACTCTCTGAAACTGTGCAGGATATTTTAATTATGACATGGAGCACATTACTGTGCTGACCTACAAGTACAAGATCATTAACCTTATACGTAGTTTAAAATTTAATTTGGTTTGGTCTCTCTCGCTTTCTGAACTCAGCTGCCCTATTCTATAGCAAAGGTTCAAAAGGTCGTAATAGACCAATACGGATGCAAATAGTATAATTTTCCATACTGTCAAAAGCAATAAAGCTTTTAAACATTTCCATGAATTACGATAGTTTTTCTAACTTTAATGAGGATGGCAAGCATATATTAATATGAGGGCTGGCAGAGCACCTAGAATGATTTTTCACTGAAATTTGCAAATCTGTACAAGTTTCTGTTTCTTGTGATGGGCAGAGGGTGGCCACACATTTCCACAACTTTGCATGTTTTTGTGCCTACCTGATTTCTTAGAATCCTGCTTACTGGTCTTTCAGAGACCACAAGCTCAGTGACTTAAGACTGAAGCCTGTCTTATGTCTTAAACTCCGTACTTTTTGAGAAGACCTCCTTCTTCGTACCTAGGAATTTGACAGCTTTATCCAGCTATAAGGTACTGCTATAACTGTTTAGAGGGAAAGATGCCTCCATTGTAGAACCTAGCAGTTATTTAAATGTTGCCTTGACTCCACTCCACATATACCTATATCCACAGTTTAGGTGTTGCTCTCAGCCTGAATTGGCCCATCGTAGTGCTGAGGCTCAGGTTCAGCCTTTCCTTGGGTTTGTGAGCCTTGCCCTGAGTGTATTAAGATGGCAAGCTAATTCTCCAATTCCCTTTCTGTGTTTAGAAGCACTGAAAAGTTCTTTCATGACTGTCTGGGGAAGTCTTAGAAAGCAGGTTGGCTTTCTGTGGCAGAAGAAAAATAAATACT